ACTGGGAAGTCTAGGAGGGGGGTGGGTGGGAGGGTTCAAACCAAAGAAGCATCCTTGGGGGAGTATTGGATATGATCAATGTACAAATATCTATTAAAAACTAGCTATGGTATATTGTGAATCCTGAATTTTGATTGGTTGACGTGCAATGGTATATGAGCTCATATACCATAGACCACTAATATGTTAGGTTTGTGCATCTTTTTCACAATGATCATAACTGATTTTGAGGTATTTCTTTAGGTGTTTTTAATAAAACAATTATTCCGCTCGCGCTTGTTGGATATATACAGTGTAAGATAGTTATAACCAACTTGGCACTACGCGACTCGTTGGCTATCTACCATCTCATATCCAACACGCACTCACGGAATAATGATTAATTATCAAAAACTAGCTATGGTATATTGCAAATCCTGAATTTTGATTGGCTCACGCGCAATGGTATATGAGCTCATATACCATTGGCCACCAATATTTTAGGTTTGCATGTCTTTTTCGCAATGATTGTAACCGATTACGAGGTATTTGTTTGGATGTTTTTAATAAAACAATTATTCCACTCGCGCTTGTTGGATATCAGATAGTTAAAGCAAACTTGGCGCTACACGCCTCATTGGCTATCTACCATCTCATATCCAACGCGCGCTCGTGGAATAATTGTTAATTATACATTGTTGTGGTGGATTGGTGGGAAATCTCGCAAGAAAGGCTCATCTCACATGCAAAACTACCTGTCTGCAAAGTTCTGACAAATGGAAAGTGCCTAAGACAATTTTTTTTTGGGGGGCAAAATATATTATCGCTATAGTTCCTTGACCAAGGGCACTTGATGACATGAGCACTCGGATTGACGATTTGGAGAAAAACATTGGTGAATTGATGAACCAATCCGGGGTGGATGAACCAGAAAAGTGACAAGAACAGATGGCTAGTCAAGTTATAATGAGGAACAGAGAGATCACCAAAGGGTTATTAACAATATAAATACTGGCAGTCCTACTTTTATAGAATTTTTTTCTAAGCTGTGTATTCTTATCCTAGTTTTGAAAATTTATGTAGTTTTAGGGTTTTTTTTTGGCTGTTTTGCTTCATATAGTAATTATTTTGTAACCAAACTGTTAATTTGTTCAGAAGTTAACATTGCTTGTTTTGATTTCAACTCTACTGAAGTGTTTGTCTGTGTAGATGGCTTTATATTGCTAGTGACGCATATAATCATTAAATTATATTGTAACAGAAGCACTTCTTGTGATTCCCTGTAAAGCTTTGAAGTACATGTAAGCATTTTGTAATAAATTTGGTTCTGTTGCTGATTGTTTAAGGTCTTTACCAGTTTTACTAATTATCCTATTTAGAATTGTCACTTTAAAATGAAACCATTGATTTCTTAGAGTTAGTCTGCAAGTTGCTTAGCTGGAATATGAATTCTTATTAATCACCAGTCACTTCTGTAAGTATGTGATGGTCAACTAAGAGAATATTTGACTCCTTTGGCCAAGGGCGCAGTGGCCCAATGGTTAATGTGCTGGAGCCCGGAGGAGCGGTTTGGGTTTGCACCCTGGCTGGAGCACTGCATTATGCTCTTGGGCAAGGTGCTTTACTCTCATATTGCTTCTTTTTACCCGGGTGCTTAAATGAGTATTGTTGAATTTAATGCTGGGGTTAACCCTACTACTCCTGGAGGGGTCCTAGAAAACTCCTTGAAAAGTCATTTTGCCAGGCATCAACCCTGAAAAACTCCTTGAATTTGATTAGTGATGAATAACGTATAAAGAAAAAACAAATGAGAAAGTTTTGAAAACCCTCCTCTACGTACACTTTGACTGAGTAAATAACTTTTTCTAAAGAAAATTACATGTAATTGGGGCACTGGATTTTTTTTGTTTATACCCTTGAAAACGCCTGGAAAATTACTGAAATTTCATGAACTACTAGTAGTATGAACCCTGATGGAGTAGCATCCCATCCAGGGGGGAAATAGAAATACTCCTAGTTGCTTCATGGTATAGAAAACCGGGATAAGTTCTGGCCTGTTTAGCTACTTGGCCAAACACAGACTTACCCAGCTATACCTTGCCTTACCTTGGACACAAATGTCCTAGGTAAAAAATAATAGTCATTAAAAATTGAATATGACTGTTAGTGTGTTGCGTGGGCAGCACAAAGGATTCTATTCACGGGCTAGCCTGAGCTGATTAACTAGCCGTTGTCCATGTGATAACAGAATCAATTTATGTCACACATTGGAAGTTAATTAGTTTTCTAAAACGAGAATGCAATGTTGTAATCAAAACTTCTCCTTATAGATAGACAACATTGCGTGTTTTATACAAATAAGAATTTACCAACAAAGTACTATTTTCCAAAAAATGCTCGAGGTTACTTGCAATGGCCAGCAGCTCTTTCATGAGATTTCAGTATATACTTTCCTGAAAATCTTTTCATGCTAAGAAATAATTGGCTTTGAGTAGACATGAGTAGAGTCGTTACTGATTAACCAGGCCTGTAAGGAGGGGGTGGAGGGGGGGGGTGGTTGTGATGGGTGCGACCGCACCCCTCCCCCATGAGCATTGAAAGTCCGCTCATTGTGGCAAAACAGACGCAGACAAAGATTATATATATATATATATATACATATATATATATATATATATATATATATATATATATATATATTTCAACTATTTCCTCGGCCAATTTGTGTTTAAATGGGATGCAAAGGGCAAGAAGCTCAGAGAAAAAGAGGAAGGCTGCAGCTAAACCCTGTCAATTCAATGGGCAATTGCTTTGTCTGCAAATTGTCACGTATAGAAACAACTGATATTGCTGTTAAAAAAGATGTCCCTGTTTGGCTAAATTAGATATTCCGTCATTGTTATCTACATTGTATATCACATGTTTACAGCTTCTGTTTCTAAGGAATATGTTTAAAATATGTTTTGAATTCAAAGAAATTTACCGGAATTATTCACGTTTTTACCTTCACTTTTGGCTGCCTATCAAACTGCCTTCAAAACGTACGAAACTGCTAATTTTTTCAGACCCCTCTACAAGCTCACGCCTGCATTAGCCCCCATGCATGGTGCGAATACGATGAAATCCTGGCTACGGGCCTGTTAACTTCTCAAAAGTCATTTTCACGACCATCACATCCCAATTGAATAGCCAGGTCCATATTGATACGTATTATCATTTGCTATAATGAATGTTCATGGGAGTGCTTGGCAGCCGTAACATCATATTTCTTTCTTCTCTAAAAGAACGGTTCTGTATAGGCAGCTGTATAGGTTTCATAAAGCTCTATGTGGACTGAAGTCTACTTTTTTGTTACAACGTTTAAAAGCCGACAAAAGACATAATGATGGACCAAATGATTGACATTTTATTGCTCGTATACGACGGTACAAATAGATCAACGCTTTGCTCCAGAGCTGTTTGTATTTTGACATACAGTAAAAAACCCGCGAGTAAGAACCTCTACTGTAAGAACCTGTTAGGCTAAAATTTGCTTGTTTTAGCCCGTTTAAATAAGAACCACTTTAGCCTCAAATTTGGAAACAGGTTTTTATTTTCTAAAATCAATTAAGACTGTTTAAATTTACTGGGAAATAAGATATGTTGACATCCTGGATCATTGAGATCTTTGGAGACACTTAGGAGCCTTATCACTCTCGTTGCAATGTACATGCCAATGTTGAAAATCATAAAACATTATTAGTGTTACAATCACGTAAACATAAGTCACAAATTATATTAGAAAAATAGGCTAAATACAACTAAAAACTCTAAAGTTTTCTTCTGAAAGTAAGAACCCGTTGAGAACCTGAATAGCCTAAAATTGTGTTCAATACTCTTTATGTAAGAGCCTGTTTACTAGGCTAACCTGGAAAAATGTAGGTTGTTACTGGTGTTTACAATCTTGGACAAAACTGTCGAGATGCTTCACAGAATTACCACTCATTAAGGGTACCAACGCTAAATTGTTTTCAACCCCATTCTCGGCCCGTCTCCTCTCAGTGTTGAAAATGTCGTTAGTGTGAAAACAAAGCTGGGTGAATTCCGGCCATGAAACAACATTGTGCAGGGGGGGAGGGATAAGTATTCTTTACTCCATTGTAACTAAAGCTGAGTTGCGAAAAGCGCGTGTGATATTCGTTTTCTCAACAAGGCTGTAGGACTTAATTTGGATTTCATATCGTTATATTTAGAGAAGTATTCTTGTTTGCACCAAACGATTTCAGCTCACAGTGTTCCGTCCAAATACAAGCCCAAGGATTTTTAAAACGCAAATTTCTATTCAGGAGAGGATCCCTCCGCCCCAGAAAAGAACAGCAGTATAGGGATGTTGGGAATACATAAGACTGGGATTTATTTCTGTAATTTTGTGGTACATTCTTTGCGTGCGACATTAGATCAGAGTACATGTATTAGAAAAAAATGGGAGATAAGTGTGAACAAACAGGTACCAAAAAAGACCAAACATGGAACACTAAAACACCTGATAAGACCTGGTGACGTGTAATTCTTCTGTTCTATCGAGTATGACCTACACGCGATTCTTTTAGATTCCTTTATTTGTTCCCAGAGAACAAAGTAAAGATGTCGCATTTAGCGACACTTTGGAAAGCATCTCGATGGTTAATAGCTTTCTTTATAATATTTAAGGTAAGTTTTTTCTTGTTTTTTGTTTTTGTTTTTTACACATTAGATGCACTGTAATTTTCAGGAAGTTATAATAACTCCTCTAGTGGGGCTAATTTAACTCCTTACAGTGGAGTTATTTTTCGTGGAGTTATTTTAACTCCAAAAAGGAGTTTAAAGAACTCTTTTTCAGGAGTAAAAGTGACCCCAGATATTGAGGAGTTAAAATAACCCCAAAAAAGGAGTTATCCTGTACCTAAAATTTTTACTCCACTTTCAGAGTTAAATTAACTCCAAAAAGAGTAAAAACAACCCCTGTAAGGAGTACAAGTAACCCCATTTCGGAGTAATTTTAACTCCAAGACTGGGAGTAAAAAGAACTCTTTTCAAGAGTAAAAATGACCCCAAATTCGGAGTTAAATTAGGAGTTAAAATAACCCCAAAAAAGGGGTTATCCTGTACCTAAAATTTTTACTCCATTTTTGGAGTTATAATAACTCCCTAAAAATTACGGTGTGATTACAACAGACATACTATGTCTGATTTTGACGCCTTGTTGTAAACACTGTAACCTTCTTCGCTACCATGTAATTGACAGATTAAGTTTCTTTTTTTGTGTCTTTGTTTTGTTTTGATTTTGTTGTGATGTCCCCACTTTATGGGCAATAAAGCGTTTAAGAGTTTGTGACTTGTAGACATATAAATGTGATTTGCTGACAGGATCGTCCGTGAATAGAAAAACTTTGCTGGAGGCCGACGTCTAGAATGCGCTCAGTCGTATTCTTATTTATGTGCCTTCAGGTTAAAAACAATCTATCCGAAAGAAACTCCGGAAATTTATTTTCACAACAAATAACATAATTAAGGAGGGCCATGAGAAGATTAGCTATAAAGAACAGACAATGGATACTTGAACTTCAAGGAAAAGCAACAAAAATAAAAAAGACCATGCATTTAAAACCACGAGCGAAAATTATAATCGTCTAGGACAATCTTGTAATTAAAAACCTATAATAGGGAAAGCGTTTCAGTTTAGATCAAACTTATTTTCCCGTCTTCAGTTCTATTTCACATGTTTGCTGGTAAACTTTTCACTATCGGAGACAATTCTGACACCGAATAACGGTAATCGATGTTATAAAAAGAACGGCGTTTCAGTATTGCTGCCTTCTTTAGCAAATGGGGAAAAAATCGGGAAATGATTCTGAGACAAGCAATAAGAGGATTATATGTGATGTCCAAATGATCAGTTTTCTGGCTACTGTTCTCCGCAATGTTGTCTTCGTTTTAAGAATTTTTCTGACCAACCATATAATTTCCACGTCGAGCTACGGTGTCATGCGGAGAATGAGAGCTTGTTCATCGAAAGAGCAATCAGATTTCGGAATATCAAACTAAAGATGGACAGCCACACAGGTACCAAACGATAGCCTGAAAGATTTCTTCAGTTCTGTTTTTTGCTTTTACTTCAGAGAGATAAATGACTGGCCATGGCCTTCAAAATGAAATTAAAATCAATAAAGTATAATTTTACCCCAATCCAACGCAGTCCAACACAATAAATTTATTTTATAAAGTTATTTACCCTAATATAACACAATCGAAAAGAAAAAGACCGCTAAAAGGAGGAAGCTTCTCTATAATTTAGGATAGCTTCAACAAGGCATTTATGCTCCCAGCTTTCGCCCCAAATATTAGCCTTTGTTCGCAGAGTTTTTTCTGGATTTTGAAAACCGAGGCTGAGAGAAAGTTGAGCCTCGAGAAATCTTCACTTTTATTGTGGACTGTGCGCCATCTTGTATTTGATCGCCTTGGATTGCAGTCGAGGCATCAACCGTATTTCGTTGAAATCTTCGTGTTCGGGCATTACAGCAGTTGAAAAAGACAGCCAGGTGTAAACAGTTACCAAACAAAGAACAGTAAAACACCTGATAACCCCTGTTGATGTGCAATCTTCTATTCTGACGACCTTTACGTGATTCTTTTAAATTCCTTAATTTGTTCCAGTCGCCATAGAACAACCATTTTAAGTAGTTTAGCGACACGTTTGAAAACATTTCGATGGTTAATTGCTTTCTTTATAATACTTAAGGTAAGTTCTATTATCGTTTTTGTTGTTTTACACATTAGATGACTGCAACAGACATAAATTTGACGCCTTTTTGTAAACACTGTAATCTTCTTTTCTACTATGTAATTGACAGATTAAGTTTATTCCTTGTATCTTTGTATCTTTTGTTTTGATGATTTGTTATGATGCCCCCATTTCATTGTCAATATACTGTGTCTAGACTTTGTCGCTTGTACTGTAGACATTTAAAAGTAATTTGCCGGCCGGATAGTTCATAACGAGAAAAACTGTGCAAGAGGTCGGGATCTCGAATGCCTTCGTGTTCATATTTCTGTGCCTTTTTAATTTCTGTGTGTTGAATATTTAAAAACTGTCCGTAAGAAAGTTTGAAAATTTATTTAGTTAAAAAGCATTTTTAGAGGAAACCTTTTTCCTTTCTAAAATTTTATTTCACATGTTTACTGATCAACTTTTACTGTCGGCGACAATTCTGACTCCGGATAAGAAATAAAAATGTTAACACGAATGTTAAAATTGACACTTGTTAGTGGTCGATATATAAAAAAAGAACTTTTACAGCATTGCTGCCTTCTTCTTCTTCAGAGAAACGGCAAAAATCGGGAGATAACTATAAATGGTAGCCAAGATGATTCTGTGAAAAGAGGATTATGTGATGACCAAATAATCGGTTTTCTGGCTATTGTTCTACAACGTTCATTTTAATAATTTTTCTGGCCAACCATATGATCTCCACGATCACTAATTTCAGGCGGGGAACGAAAACTTATATGTCGGAAGAAATGTCTATAATAATAATAATAATAATAATAATAATAATAATAATAATAATAATAATAATAATAATATAACAATAACAACAATAATAATAATAATAATAATAATAATATTATTATTATTATTATTATTATTATTGTGGCTAACGGTGATTGCCATTAAGGACATGGATTTTAATTTAAACAACAGAGAATTTTGAGAAGCCATCAAGTTGAGATATGACTGGGAAATAACCGACATGCCGACAGTTTGTGTCTGTGAAGATCCTTTCAGTGTGGACCATGCTATGATTTGTTGGCGTGGTGGGTTTATATATCATCCTGCGCCACAACGAGCTCCGTGATCTTGAGGCAGAAATGTTAAACATTGTCTGTCATGACGTTGACATTGAACCGGTGCTGCAAGATGTAACAGGAGAAACGTTGCCCAACAGCACAAACAAGGCTCCCGATGCCCGTGTCCATGCTCGGGCGAGGCAGAGCTTTGTATTCCTTGATGTTCGCGTATATCACCCCAGTGCAGACTCATACAAAGACCTAAGCCCTGAGCAGATCTACCGCCAGCATGAGAACGAAAAGAAACGCATGTATGCCAAACGGGTCATCGAGGTTGAACAAGGTACCTTTACCCCTTTAGTCTACACTGCAACGGAGGCATGGGAGAGGAATGCCAAAGATTCCACAGCCGACTTGCAGAGCTCATTGCGGCTAAAAAGGGGGAGCAGTACTCCACTACAATATCCTGGATCCGCACAAAAGTGTCTTTCGCAATTTCACAGTCAGCGCTACTGTGCCTCAGAGGGTCACGCACCACAAGGCGAAGCTTCAAGAACTTGAATGAAACTGACTTTGAAATTGATAACATTTTATCCCGACTGTGAAAGTGATTTTTGAGGACGCGAACATGATTTTATACTTTTCTTTTTTTTTAAAGATTCATCGCCTGTGTTTCTCGAGGAAATTTTTATTCTATACTGTTTTGGTGGTGATAAAGATAGTAATAATGATGATTATGATGATAATAATTGTGGAATATTTTAGTATATATATATATTACTTTTTATTTTTAAAATTTTAAACAATTTTACAGATAAATAAAAAATAATGATGTTTCAAGAATCATGAGATGACAGAAGACCACAGAATGTTTGTGGCTAAATCTAGCGTTCATGCAAATTTGCTGGTCGCATTATACAGTGAGTTTAACACCAGACCTTACGTTTTTTCAGTTCATGCGATTAAGAAGTGGGCTTCCCTATAATTGCTTAAATCCAGATTAACTTCAAGGCATTCTGCATAGCGATTATTTAATGGGGGAGAAATTGAATATTTTTAGTGGGGTGTCTGCCGGTTTGGTTTAACTTATACCGCGGAAATCATTTTGTAGACAATCTCATGATATAAGATGACAAGTTAGTCAACTAAGCCCTGAAGTCCCAGAGGCTTTCTATTGGGCATGTTCCGGCTATTGAATGTTTTCAGTAAACAGAGAACTGTATCTTTAATAAATGTTACCGTATCATCATCAGTAAAAACTATCATTGATTAACTAAAGCCGTACTTCAAATTTCTATAAAAAAAAAAAACATATCAGCAGTGACGTATTTTTTCGCTCGATATTTCTCGCCGCCGAGATCGATATTTTTCAGCGTCGCTAGCAGGTGCTATATCTGCCTGAAAATGCCTCGATATCACGGCGGCGGTAATATGTGAGAATGACTAATTGCCTACGTAAAGAAAGTTTTGGTCGACGTCATTCTTAGGAACGGCCTCATTGACATATGATTCGCCCCGTTCCCCGGCATTGCTATGTCTGCAAAGCAAAATGCCGACTTTCTTCCCCCGCCCCTCCTCACCTGATCATAACTTATGACATAATCAGATAATCGAAAACCGCAAATATCTCTGGAATGAGAAAAGATATCAGTAGAGGGAAAACACTATCTTTCTTCATTTTGGAAGGCCTTTTAAATGAGCTTAACTTTCTTTCCATTTCAAAGGCACTTAAACAATTTATTTATTATTTCTTCCAGTGTATCGAGGCTGCCAAAAATAGTTCTACTACACATGATGGGGAAGACGATAATGATTTGTTCACAAAATCATTACAAGCCAAGTGGTTCAACAGCTTGGCTAACACTCTGTGCAACGACATTTCAACTTCCTGGAAAAATGAAAGAGGAGCGTTCGACCCGAAAGTCCTTGTTCAGAAAATGATTGATGTACTGAAAGAGGAAAGTGCTGCTGAAAACATGCAAGTGAATGATATATTTTATCAAAGTTTGGAAGAGTTAAAAACTGATCCTGATTTTAGTAAAATTATGACGGAGTTCGACGACGCAGTGAACGGTAAAAGAAATATGATGACAGTAGGTATGTTTGGTGATGAATGTCCATATACTGGGGTTTGCCTTGTTTCGGTAGGAGGTTTTTTTCTTTAACAATTTCATATTTACTAGATCCAAAAAATCTTTCAAAGCGTTATCGATGTAATTTCAAGGTGTTTTAAGAATTTGTGACAAAATTTTAGTAAGTAAGTAAGTGGTTATTTGTAGTTGACCACACACTTTTATGTATAAAAAAATTCAATTTATCACGGAAATAGTTTTGGTAATTTGTTGAAAAGCGAATGTAATTATGGTATTAAAAAGTTTCAAATGTAAACATGCAATCCTTTCAGTATCGTTAACAACACAAGTTCTTAGCAATTGCAGAGCCTTTTCGGGCGAAAGGCGACATCCGTTTTGGAAAATTATCAGCCTGATATTCCCAGTTTTTATTAAACTTAAATTGAAAAACCTAGCTCCAAAAAGAGAAGGATTCTGCATGTGGACCGACGTATCTTTATTTGTCATCTAGTAAGGGCTTATGAAGCTACAATTTTAGGTGCGTGTAATTGAAGTCAGGCGCGTGGAATTTAAAATGCAGGATCATTGCGGCATGAGCTAATGTTAGTGCCCCTGTCTTTTGCGGAGACGAACCACACTATGCGAAGGGGAAACAAGTCTATTTTAACAGACATTGTCAGAAAAGGTTAATTGCCCGGAGTTATAGTTACACTTTAAGTGTATATGACAGATTTTTTTTTATTTGCTAGATCGATTCTAAGTGAGATGCTGATTTCAACATGAAAAGATTTTTTTCGAAACCTATTTTTTCGCCTTGTTTTAGCCGTCTAAAAGCGTGAAATTGCACTTCCGGTTCGGTTCAAAACCGCGCAAGGTGGGGGCCTCGGGATAGTGGTGCAGTGACGTCAAAAGCAGAAAACCGCGCAGGGTGGGGAACTGAGGCTAGTAGAGTAGTGACATTAAAAGCAACCCAAGAAACGTAAATAACAAAGCGATAAGTGGTCCAGTCGTCGCGCAAACAGAACAATTAGAGTTCTGGCAACTAACGATTAAAATTTGGAGAGCTTTTTAGTGCTGTCAGATGCAGCATCAAATGTTTTCTAGATTCTAGACTCTACTAGCCTCAGGTCCCCACCCTGCGCAGTTTTCTGCTTTTGACGTCACTACACCACTATCCCGAGGCCCCCGCCTTGCGCGGTTTTGAACCGAACCGGAAGTGCAATTTCACGCTTTTAGACGGCTAAAACGCGGCGAAAAAAAAGGTTTCGAAAAGAAATCTTTTCATGTTGAAATCTGCATATCACTAAGAATCGATCTAGCAAATAAAAAAAATCTGTCATATACACTTTAAAGGAAAAGCTGCCTTGTTTATCGATGGCTTTGCTCTGGTAACAGATAATGTAAAACCAGAAAATAGCAGACTTTGGGTGGCTCCATGGACTGCTACGTTACGCCGTGTTACGAGGTCGAAGTGTCATTTGATCTTTATCTACGACACTTCAACAAATCAACGACAAGAAGTCGAAACCCCTATATATGGACATTATCCGGGTCATCGTTCTTGATGCTGGCTAGCTCGTAGTTTTAGCTTGACACCCATCATTACGACAACATTTTTCTTTCTTATTTCAATTGCAACTTCTTATTGATACAAGAATCACATTCGCATTTCAACAAAATGTAAAAACTAAAAACTATACCTGCGATAAGGCAAATATTCCGTAAGAGGGCGTGGTCATTGTCACATGACGGCTCCATTAATCATAGAAACAGCGTAAAAACTGTCTGACATTCTTACAATCATCTTTAGCGTACACTAAAAATGCTTTGAAAGAATTTCTGGGTCTATTACACTTAAAATTGTGAAAGAAAAGAAAACTCCTTATTTGGACAGTGACGTCATAATTAAATACCCCAAAACACCACTTTAACACAAGAATTGAGCTTGGCAACAATAATTTTCGAAATCAGCGTACTCGAATTAGTCAAAATAGCCATGTTGCCAAAAATCTGCCAAAAATGCCCGTGGGTATCACATTTTGGCCTCTCGTGCACCTGACTATTACTCCCAGCATTAAGTTCCCTGGTATCAATACATTTAAACACGCCTGGGCGAAGAAAGGTACTATGAGAGTAAAGTGTTTTGCCAAAGGGCTCGACCCAACCTCGTTCCCAAGGCCATCTCCGCTTTCAAAGCGGAGATGGCCCTGGGAACGAGGTTGGGGCTCGACCCTGGACTGCTCAATCCGGAGTCCAGCTTACTAGGCAGAAGACCATCGCGTCTCTCGTTTTTATAGTTTATAGTGTATATATATTCTATTTTGTTAAGGAACCGATCTACCAGAACTTCAAAAAGAAAAATCGGATCCGATCAAAGACGTCGGGCTCAAAAAAAACCCTGAGGTGATCACCGGAGAAGAGACTGAAAAAGAGAACGACTTAATAAGATACAGTAATTACATATCAGGAGCCGGATCTACCTTTGGAGGTTTTATGGCTGGTCTTCCTCAAGATGTCAAAGATTTAACACAAGGTACGATTTACATAATCTCACATAGGGTCATAGTGGCACAAATGTCATTGGCATGCCCTGAAATGCAATAGTTTTTGCATATACATTTTCACATGTAATTACTTTTCAATTTTATTTTGCTTCATTTATTCCTTTCTTCCATTCATCCATCCGTCCTGCCGTCCGTCCGTCCGTTCATTAATTAATTAATTAATTAATTAATTAAATACCGGTAGTTCATTAATTCACTCGTTCATTCCTTTATTTTTTCCTTCCTTCAGTTATTCATTATACTTAGTGTCAAATAGTACATTCCCTCTGTTTTATGTCATTTAGTAATCTCATCATCTGCAACACAGAGAAACTGGCCCAGTTCATTTATTGCAATTTCAATCTAGTTATAGAGGTTTAAACCAAATAAAATGTATTCTTTTCCAAACTTTTCACGTTTGGATTTGCTTGCCCACACCGTTGCACTTAAACTATAAATATTATTTATTTTTTTAACTTTATATTTTGCATTTCTAGGAATCATGAAAGGCGTAAGTTACAAATACGATGCTTTAGCTTACAAATTAAAGAAGGGAATAACAGTCGATGTTCTCAGGGATGAAAACTTTGAAACAATGGTCAAATCTAACATAGAACCTGAAGTAGAACTTCGCGTCAAGAGAACCGGCGTGAACAATCTTGAAGAAATGGTTATGTCAGATTCATTTGACAAAATTAAAGTTCTCCAAGGCGTTGGCGATGAGCAAAGACTGGCTCAACAAAACTTCAATACTCAGAAGATATTGGGAAAGCAAAAGGAAAGGATTTTATCAAGAAAAGTAGCCGGTAAAATTTTACGTAAGGTTGGCAACGGTGTCGAGACGTCCAGTACCGCCTTTAGTTTAGCTCAGGGTGGAGTTGATGCTGCAGCCGGAAGTGATATGATTCAGAAAGCTCGTGATTTAAGAGCTGAGGGTTCAATTTCGGAGGGTGAATATAATGAAATGATGAGGAATGGTCGGCTCCGCATTGCTCAAGGAAGCTTTGGTCTTGCAAATGGAATGCAAAATGTCGTGAAATTTGTTGGAAAAAGGGTGGAAAAGAACGTTTTAAAAAAAGCAGGTAATGCTGGCGTAAAGCTTCTGAAGCAAACCAAACGTTTTGGGTCTTTTATTGGCGGTGCTATTTCGGTAGGTACGGGCATTACGTCTATGGCAAAAAATGCAATCGCTGCAAGTGACGCGGCAAAACAAGGTATTGTTGGTAAAGCTGCCATGTACGCAGTCATGGCCGCTGTTGATGGGGTTACGGCTATTCTGGACGGAGTAAGCGTGGTTTTAGATTTTGTTTTCCCTCCTTTATCACCAATCGTAGATCTGGTCAGTACGATTTTGCAAGTGGTGAATACAGTTCTTGGTTTCTTTGCTGATTTGATCGATTTCAGAACAACTGCACAGCGAGTGCATGACGAATTTACGGCATACATAAACTCGGAAGCGTTTAAAACTTATGTGCAGAATATGGCAGATGGATATAAGAGCAGAGGGTTTGACATCTTTAAGTACTACGTAGACGCAGATGTGGCAGGCATAGAAGCTGACAAGGAAACATTACAAGCCGAAAGGAAAACCATTACAAAGTGTCTTACTGATAAAGCAAAGGAAGATTTTAATAATAAGCAATTGCGAGTCGCACTGTTAGACGCTACATCGTTTGGCAAAACGCTCAAGGGCCGTGCGAATGATGATGAGATTGTTGCTGGTTTCGGTCCAGATCGTATTTATGGTGAAGAGGGTGATGATATATTGTTTGGACGAGGCGGAAGCGATACCATTTATGGTGGTCCAGGAAATGATTACCTGAATGGTGGAACAGGAAGAGACACTCTTCTTGGTGGAGAAGGGGACGATTTTCTTGTTTGTGAGCCTGGTGTTGATAGGCGATGCGAAGGGGAAGGGGGAGATGACACTTTAGCCTTATCTGGGAAATCTTTGAGATTCAAAGAAGCGCTTTGGAATAAGGACTACATCACAATGGGGCCAGAATGGGAAGCCATCTCTCGAGGTAATCCAAGGAAATCACCAGTCAAAGGAATTTATCTGGATATCGGATATACCTCAGGAACAGGCTCAAGTGCCAAAAAAGGGAGAACAGGCATCAATCTTGGGTCTTGTTTTCCTGGATGGCCAGATGGTTTTATCCAATTTATTCATAAACCAGCGTTTCTTTCTTCAAGCAGCCTGGAGAGCAGTTTGGTGAGCCTTTTCAATCGCAAGAACCCTGAATCCCTCAGCACTGCCGATGAGTTAAAGAGCAAAATGTTGTGGTTTCTGGCAGAGAAGAACGGGGTGAAGTACTTATGTGATGGAATATCCCTTTATGCAGTGTCTGCATCATCCACCCGAGTCGCCCGACGCGTCATTAATGGTATTCCTACCAGTTCTGCTGTCTACAGCAATGGACGTCTAAAGTATTCCCGAAACAAGCAACTGGAGGCCCTTTTGGTATTTGCTTTTCGAAGAAGTTTCGTATTCGATAAATTTGAAAAAATCTCTGCTGCACGACCAGACAGGGTTGACATCTTGTCTCACTACATTCCAACAACTGTCATTGGTAGCGATGAGCATAATGCCATCGATTTGTCGTATGGCCTTGGTGATGTGGTGTACACTGGCGAAGGGGACAACGTTATTTCCATTGGAGGAACTATAAATTGTTATCATTATACGGAAGAAACGATACGAGAAGGTGCTTGCTATGGAGGTTTTTACAACTGGGCCAAATACATTGTCGGAGGCAGCGGAGAAAATACACTTGTTATCCAATATATGACTCCTCTTAGCGAACTGCCTTTGCCAGATACCGATTACGGTCGATGGCAACTTAGAAACATCGACAGCCCACTTGATACGGGGTCCTTTTCAAAGTATTCTCATGTTGTTTACTTGAAAAACATGCAGACTGTTGAAATACGTGCTCCCGAACCTCAAACGTACTTCCAAGACATCCGTATAAATGCCGAACACTATGATGGCGCAAGAAGATATATTCTTAACCATTCATATTTTTTCACTGGCCCTCTTTCAACTGAGAAAGATGTAACCGTATTGCCTAGAAGACTCATTAACGGATATAACAGCTATACGATCAGGTTTGGTAAAGACACCAAGAACACCATTTCCTTCAAGTATTATGAAGACGAGAGAAACCAAATTGACTCCATTAGTATATACCAGCGCTTAGGCTATGAATACGACGAAGGATCTATACTTTTCACACCACGAAGGTTTCTGCGGTTGGTAAATGCAATGAATGTGGTCAGTTTTCCGTCGTGCAAGACCATCACTGGTAACGACAAAGAGAACCTTCTAATTGCTGTGGGCGGAGTAACAGCTATCGATGCGAAAGATGGAGATGACACCCTCGTCAGTACTCGCGGTAGACATGAGTTGACAGGTGGTCCAGGTACGGATACCTATGTACTCCATGGTCCTGATGTGGTGGACTATTTGACAATTTCTGTTGTTAAGGGAGCTGACGGGTCAACTATCAGATGTAAAACAACCATCTACGGAAAATGGATGGAGGCACAACGACTCGAAATCGACGTGTTAAAACATGATCATAACGATGTTCTTTTGAACACTGTTGAGATTATTCCAGCCGAAGGGGACGAGGGAAAGAGCCTGGGCACCATTTCTAAGAATGCCGCTAACAGAAAGATCATTTTTAAACCTGGATCCGATTTTAATTACTTGAAGAGGAATCAAGCCAAAGTGGTGAGAATAAAATACACAACAACTGGGAGCATGGCAACCATTAAGGAAGGCGATTATGGAAATCAGCTACGTTTTGAGTCCGTAACGAGTCTTGACCATTTAGCAGCAAGTATTGAAGACCATAAACTGGTATTCAAGGATAAATCAAATCCGCCTCGAACTGTCCTTATTGACCACGAATGGGGAAATAAGCTCCAAACTGGAGTATCAACAAATTTGTTTGATCTCATTTTAGACTTTGCTCAGCGTTTCCCATTGATTCTCTTTCGAAAAAATGACCAAGAATTTAACCGTGCGACATCCAAAGATACAATAGAGTTCCTTTACAAGCATTTGAAGCATCTCGAGATTTCTCTTAAGCAAGAGTACGACACAATCCTTGATTCCACATCTCTTCCCTCTAATTTTGGTGCAGAAATTGATGTTGGAAATGGCCAGAATATTGTCCTCGCAAAAACAAGAGGAAAAACCTACAAGCTTGGTAGGAAATCGTCTGGAAGTCTCATCGTTGCTAATAAATTCACAGACGGCACAGGAAAGGCCACCATTACAGGTGGAGATGACCGCCGGTCGTCATATCAAATCAGTCGCAATTTGAATACAGTGGTCATTGGAGTTGGTTCTGGTGGAGTAGTAGACATTCGTTTAGGATCACATGATGTCATCATCACTAATGCTCTCCCGAGCGAAGTTCAAATTTACAGTGTTAAGAAGCACAACGAAGATTATTATTGTCTTAAAGATTCCAGAGGGCGAGATTTAATCAATGGATGGTACTATGGCAACTGCAAAAAGCTGATTTTTAAGAAATCACAAGACACTCAGATTATTTTCGATTGTTCAAAGTACGTGGCGGGTAAACTCTCCCCGTATCAAGCGGATTATCCTATCATCGTCTCGTATGGTGCAGATCAGAAGCTCAAGCTTAACTTGCCATTCAAGAAAAATGATGCAAGTATTGATTTCCATTACCCGTACGGTTCCCGTGGGCCCAAACTTCTTTGGGTTTACTTTAAAGAGCCTCGTCCACCAAGTTTTGTTTCTGGGCGACAGCCATACTTGCTCATTCCATCTGACAAAACCAGTCCAAAGGTATTAGATACTCGTATGTTGGTGAACGCCATTCGCTTCCAGTTTAAGGGGGGCATCCAATTCAGTGATAACAAGTTGGTAAAGGATGCAGCAATCTGTCCATTTGTCATCGAAAAGTTGAAGAGTTCTCCTCCTCGAGGATATCAATTGGAAAACCTGGACTTCAAATGCTGAACAATTTCAGCTCGTGATTACCAAGCCAATATCATACGGATTTTAAATGTCAGTTTTTGATCCAAATATCGCAATATAGTTACTTATAATAAGGAGTTTTGTTACAGTTACACTGTATATTAGTAACAGGAGTCGTGCCGTTTTGTGATTTTGTCAATGCGTGAAAATGTTTATTGTGGGAATTTATTATTACAAGGAAAAACTGTTTATTCATACGATCTCTTAAACAGATAAGCCAACATAAATAATAAATGATGTTATGTTTGAAGACGCATGTGAATTCTATATATTACTGGCTTAAAGTAGTTTACGATCTTTCAAGTTAGTCTTTCTTTACTTTGCCAGACTCGTACCCAGACGTTACTTTTGTGCCGCAAAGGAACTTGGGAAAAGAATCGCGGCGTGTAAAGGAGCGTGGGAAAGAGGGGGAAAAGTAACGACTTGCAGATAAAGAATTCAAGATGGCGTTGTACTTTCCCGCAAAAAATTAAATGTGTTAGAAAGACCATTTCACCGTGCTTTTTTATCCAAAACTATTCCCTGTCCGCATGAAAATTGTAAAGACCGCATTAATTTTAAATCTAAGAATGGAATCGACCATCATTACCGTTCTATTCATAGAATTCCATTATCACAGGCAGAAATCAATCAATTAAAAGTTGTAAGACCTAATAATGAGAAAGAAACACTCGGAGGAAACACTTATATTTAACTTGACGAGGCAGTCTAAAGAGTTTAATAACAAGGTAGGAAATATGTAAATCGACTAAGTCTTTTTATAATTATAACTGCGACAAGTTGAACAAATGTCAATGCAACTGTGATAAAAATTTGTGAGCTTACTTAAGCATTAAGCTACAAAATTTTCATACACGATTGTCTTCACGTAAAAAACGTTTCTAAACGTATTTCATTCATTTGTACAGATTCCTAAAGGTCGTGGGTTTTAAAATGTAGGCACTTACTATCTAAATTCAGTTCGTGAAATGATAAGTTCAGTTCCTTTCTACCGTCCGCCATCTGGAATTTTATATTTTCTGCAAAAAAGTTGTTGAAATAACCAAACCACAACTCCAAATCAACACAATTACTCGGTGAACTAACAATGAATACAAATGAAACAGAGAACGAGGAAAAAATAGCTATTAATTACTCGCTTGCAAGATATTTTAAGAACGTGCAAGAAATGTCAGATTTTCCGCCAGTCGCTTCGCGTTTCTCTTCTCGCCTTCCCATGATTCCCTTTTTGCGCGATTCCTATGAGCTAACGATAAGAAGCGACCGGGTACCAGTCTGTTACTTTGCTAGTTAACAATTGGTGCATGCTTTAGCGTGCGCTATCGTTTTATGGCGCGCGTGGGAAGTTTGTAGAGCAGGAGAGAAGCGTAAGAGTTAATCGAGGCGATAGCCAAGGGCAGCTATAGCTCAGTCTAGAGTACTCTCCAAACTTCCCAAGTGCACCATAACTCTACCATGCAGCTTAAGTATTAACCAATTGTTTAAGCTTGTTCTAGAACATTACCGGCGGAAATGTGCATCAACATCCGCGCCAAAACTAGAGCGAGAAAAAAAAAAAAAAAAAAAAAAAAGTGGCGAAGCAAATAGCTCGAAAATCAGTATGCACCTTGGATTTTGGGCCACGCTTACTGAATTTGACTGCGCGCTCTGCTCGAAGCTGTATTGTATTAGTATTATAGTAGTTTTCATACAGATTTCCAGAGGTGAATCTAGATTACTATATAAGCCACGTCAACGTACCTTTGTCATCCATGTAAGTAAACATGGCGAAAAATTGCCCAATGAAATTTTTGTTCATTTGAAAGAAATCAATCAATCCTCGACTTCGTCTCGGCAGGTATTAGCCGAGATTCACTGGGCCTGAGACGAATAATTGTTAATTAGTTTTCCGGGAAAATGTGAACTGAGTTCAGCTTATTCAAATACGCAATTACACCTTTCGATGAAACCAAAAAAACAAAAACGTGCACGTGTAGATAAAAACTTCATTTACACTGCACAGCTTCGTGGTAAAGACAAGGCCAGAAATCATGGTTACTAACTATTTTACAAGGCCAAGAAAGCTTACACGTTCACACTCTTGTCCGTACGTAATCTCCAGTGGCAAAAAGAAAACGGTTGCGCCACAACACTGCTACAACACCGTAGCAAAAATGGCAGCTGCTACGAATGAAAAGTGAAAAAAATGAAGAAAATCCAAGTGGTACCCGTTTGCTTCAACCAATTTTGACAGTTTCCCTTGGCAAATGTAATGTGTCATGTTGTTATGATTGTCATGTTTGGCAGCTGGGCTAAGCTCCCTGTAGCCCCTTGACTGCTTAGCTGTGATCGGTGATGGGAGGGCTGTTCAGGCACCCTAACGGGCTTGTTTGGATCCCACAATGGAGGGAGGGTTGGGCTGATTTTGTCATCCCATTTTCTCAATCCGCTGGTTACCTTTTGTTGAATCATGGTAGAAATGCATGGACAGCTTAGCTTAGTTAAATGACCAATCAAAATACAAAGCAGGCTGTTGAAGACATAATAATCATGAAAGTAACAGAAAATTGCTAAGGGCCAGTCCAGTGTAATGACACCCAAACTCGTACATTTCCATAGTTACGATAGTCCTTTATGACTGGATTTTTTAATTCAGATGTATACGAAGAAGGCCAAGGTTCTCTCTCAGTCGATCAGCTATAGATTTATCGTTGGAATAAGGTTGGGCAGCCGTAAACGGCGCATCGTAGAGATCGAATGGATTATAATATTCATGCTACGCCCCGCCGAAGAAGGACATTGAGAATCTCACAAGGGACGAAGTGATGTTTCTCTTCCCTTTGAAACTCGAAAATTTTAATTTCAAAATCCGTTTTGCCATATAAAGTCTCTAAAGGACGATCGATCGATTGATCTTAAAAATTAATATAAGTGTTACTCAGGTGTTGCCTGAAATCCAGTGAGTGATTCGTAAAATAAAATCTTTTTTCCTTACACAAATGCTTTCAGTTTTTATTATTTTGTCTGCAAATTGCAGCGACCGATCGATCGATCCTCATGTGGGTCAGTATTTGATAATTCATTGTGGGAAAATGGGAGCAAATCTGTGTTTTGTGAAGTAGGCACGCTAAAGACACTTAGAGCATAAAAATAAACGTGTAAAAACAAAAAAGGAAATATATAAAAAAGTTCAATTTTCTACCGGGTAAGGTAGACTGTAACTCGGGCCGCAAGATTACTTAGCGAGTCTCCAGTTGTCAGTTCTTACTAGGCCGAAACATGATTAGTCTGATCACGAATGCAAATCGTTTCACTATGAAAAGTGTTCTCATCAGGCGGTACACTGCGCGAATCATGATCGAAACATGTTTATTCCGACCATGATCGAAACTACCTCGTGACGTTAAAAATGGCGGACTATGCGGGGGGAAGGTGAGTGCCCAAAAGATCCAAAATTGGGCCTACTGTGAGAACAACTGCTTAGTTAAAATAAGGGGCGATGAAGATATACAGCAGCAACAGGGCAGCGATGTGTAGAAAGCAGAATATTCGAGGGAAGAGGGTTACCTTAGCACTCGCACGTTTCTTCTATTTTTCAACGACGGGTAACCCTAGCTGACTGCTAGGGTTACCCTGCACTGGCGCCAGGGTAACCCTAGCTGCCTTGTAAATGCTCTGCTAGGGACAACTCGCCTTCCCCGGGACAACTCTATTTTGGCTCCCAAAAGGAAAATATGATCACAATACCGACACAATCAGGGAATTGTGACCAAGAAAACATCAAGTACTCTCACAATTTGTTAAATTTTTGCTGTGGAAATAAATTTTTCCGGTTTTGTTATCCGTTGCGTGCTTTACAAGGTTAACCGACGCGCAGCAAAGTCAAGTTGTCTCGTGCAGTTGGGTTACCCTACCTGTAAATTTTGATTGTAAACACGGGCTATCTTTTAACCCTCTTGCTAGGGTTACCCTGGCAGTAGGGTTACCCTACTTCCTTGTAAAGAAGGCCTAATAATCATTGTGCAGTACATCGAGTAGCAGGGGCAATTGTTATGATTCACTGTAAAACTTCACAGCAGACATAGCAAGCATTTTGTAATATATTTGATTTTTTAAAAGCCTGTACCAGTTTTAACTTAATATATTAAATAGATTTTTACTCTTTTTCAAATGTGTGTTTAAAATTTTAAAAGCGCTGAGTCATATATATATGTTATTAGACATTTTAGTGTGTAGTATCGCTGTGTATTTTTACGAGTCACGCAGAATTTTGGCGAGCCCGAAGGGCGAGTCAAAATACAAATGACGAGTAAAAATATACAGCGATACTACATACTAAAATGTCTAATAAGAGATTTATTATCCAACTGCCTTACTTTACTTGCATTTCTTCCTAAATTAAAATCTTCAAAGAAAGTTTTGCTCAGCCGAAATGCACTCACTCCATTTTGAAGTTGTACACGAATGCTCAGCTGTCTGGTTTTAGTTTCGTTGAGACTTTTCTGCTGAAATTCCTTTTCAAATACGGAAGAAACCTGTTCAGTATATATACATGAAACTCGCTGAATTTCTGAGCAACGTTAAAAACAGAAGAATTAGACCTAAAGTGAATTATTGAACCAAATGAGTTTGACACAAACTGAGTCAAAACAAGATTACATTCGGTAAGCGAACGCCGCTTTCAAAAACATTTGCTAAAAGTAAATATACACAAACATACGTGAAACATCTTCAAACCTCTTTACATCTAACTTTCTTTCCTTTAGATCCATTTAGTATTGTGTTTAGGTGAATTTTGTGTAAAGAAACTGTTTTTAGAACTGTGAAAAATGACAAAAACAATAGTGGAGTTTTCGGCGATTCGGTGAAGGAACGCCTTGAAGTTTGATGCGTGCGCGATGAACCCAACAAAGTGAAGCGATGGCAAGTGCAATTTGTAAACCAATAATAAAATGAATGAATCGGCAGAGGCGACACCATTAAATTTATCTCAGTAGTAAAAC